CTTACCATAAATGGATCCAAAGCTTCAAACGACAGTCCGATGTCCACGTGTTGGAGATGTTAGTGAAGCATCGGATGCCCAGTGATGTGCCCTCACAGCTGGACAAACAGATACCACTCTGTGATGAGCCCATTAAAGCCATGAATGAGTGTCGGATCAGCTCTTTGCGTGGTATTTCACTTGACTTTTGGTATGAATGCATTGAATACTAATCTTATGATTGCAGCCAAAGTGATACACGTGGAGACGCCAACCCTGATGTACATTCACCTCAAGAGTAGAGATCAGTCGTATCGGGAACTGAGACAAGGATTGCGTTTCTATGACGGAGATGATCACCACAATAGAGACTACGTGTTGCCCAAAGAGTTGGCTCTGAAGGGCTACCTGTGCGCTGTCCGCAACCCATTGGATTGGGACAACTGGCACAGGGCTAGGATTATACACGTATTGGACAATTCCGTCACTTTGTTTGCCATCGATTTCGGCAATTTTATCACTGAAACCATCGGTGAGTTACGGCTATTGAGGGCTGAGTTCTTCTCATATCCCATACAAGCCATCAAAGTATCTCTGAGTGGTATCGCGCCGTTCGCTATGAAGTGGTCGGACGGGGCCATCGACTTCATGAAGAAGTTTGTCCGCAAATATAAGTCTGAATACAACTTGGGCTGTGTTTTCATCGACCAATTGCCTGATGACTACTACTCTGTAATTCTGCACCAAATGGTGTCCGTCGACGTGGAGGGCACCCCCCAAATGATGCCCATCTACTTGCACGAGAAGCTCATCCTTTCGGGTTTCGCTCAAATGATATCCACGTGTTGGACACAAATCGAGTTTACTATCCATTCGAGTGTTCCGTATGAAGCCATTGAAGAGCCTCTGCTGGCCATCAAATGCGAGGCAGACTTCGGTGCCTATGAGTCGCCCACTGTTTGCGACAAACAAACTAATGTCAACGAGAATGGCATTCATGAGAGTAGTCCCGAACCACACGAATCCAGTCCCGAACCCCTATTCGAAGACAATATTGAGTCCAAACAGAGCTCTTTGGATGAGTTTAGATCAGAAAGTAGTTCGCAATCATCTGCTGAAGTGCCGAAAGTCAAGGAAGAAGTGGTGGACTATAAAGAGTTATTCTT